ATTTATTAAAGACATTTTTATGTTTAACGTTCTTTTTTTTTTATAGATACAAGTATTTAAGTAAATGCTCTGTTTATAATAAACAGTATTAAATAACATTTACCGGCCTGAAGGCACGTCAGCGTAAATGACGGTTCCGTATAGGATGCAGGTTCAAATCCTGTCAAAGAACGAATATTTTCTATGAAAAATTTCTCGGACATTCAGGCCGGTAAATGTTATTTAATACTATTTATTATAAACAGAGCATTTACCTAAATACTTGTATCTATAAAAAAAAAAGAACGTTAAACATAAAAATGTCTTTAATATATATATATATATATATATATAATACACTTGGGAAATATATTAATCCTCTTTTTCTCCCTCCTGCTATGGGTAAATAGCAGGACAGACTGGGTTCTATAGCCTTGGATGGCAACTGGTCTAGGAGAAGGACAACTCTGAATGGAAAACCTTCGGATGGACGTTTGGGGAACTTGTGGCACTTAGTGCATCAGGTCTCTGTAATTGGCCCTTAAAAAACGTGTGGTTAGTTCTGCACAAAGCCTTCACCATTATAATTAAATCATATGTCTGGATGCTTGTTCCTAGGAACTGAACTGCTTGACCCTTATACGTCGAATATGACGGGAGAGTCCACCATATAAACTTAACATTAAAAGCGTAATTATTTTATGCTGGAAATGCTATATGTATGTATATATATATATATATATATATATATATATATATATATATATATATATATATATATATATATATATATATATAGCAACTGGTCTAAGAGAAGGACAACTCTGAATTCAAAACCTGAGGAGGGCTGTTTGGGTGCCTTGTAACGCGTAGTGCACCAGGTCTCTGTATTCGGCTCTTCAAAATGTATGGTTGATTCTGTACAAAGCCTTCAACACTATAATCAAATCATACCTGTTGGTGTCTGGCTGTCAGTTCCTAGGAGCTGAGCTACTTGACCCTCGTACGTCGGGTGAGTCCACCATATATATATATATATATATATATGAAGACATGTTTATGCGCTCTTTTTATAGATATTTAAGTAAATGCTCTGTTTTTAATGAACGGTTTTAACGACATTTACCGACCTGAATGTCCAAGAAATTTCCATAGAAAATATGCGTCCTCTGTCAGGAATCGAACCTGTGTCCTATACGAAACCGTCATATAGACTGACTGACATTACTGATTTATCCACAGAGGAGTGTTTCCGTTAGCAAGGTCGATTTTACTGTTTTTAAACTACAATTCCCCATGATTTTTTCTCGTACATTCATATCTGCTCGATGCGTATCCAAATGTAAACAAATGACATCACACATTATAAAATGGACAAAGTTCGATAATTATCTTAAGACAGTAAAGCACGTCAGGCTATATGACGGTTCCGTATAGGATACAGGTTCGATTCCAGTCGGAGGACGCATATTTTCTACGAAAATTTCTCAGACATTCAGGCCGGTAAATGTCATTAATACTGTTTATTATAAAACAGTATAAACATAAAAAATGTCTTAAAATAATTGTCGAACTTTGTCCATTTCATTTTTCTGATTGCTCTTCATCTATTTTCTGCATTCTAAGCTTTATATTTGTTTCTTTAAGAATTATTATATTGTTTTCTTTATTATCAAGTGCTTGTAATTCGTCCACAAATTACCAATAAAGCCTATAACTTCTTGTAGTTATTTGACAGAGTTATTCAAAAAGCTACTTGACTAGTGATGAAAATTTGACTTGCCGCTTGCGAAATACTAATGATAAACATTTTGTTTGGTATTCAATCAGTCACCGGTATTAACGAAGTGTCAAAAAAATCTACTTTGCGCATTATGGCATGAATCAACGATTGCCGGCGTTAAAAGGTCAATAAAACTGTTCAGAAAATCGACAAACTAAAGAAACCTTACAGTTTTGTAAATCCTTTTCGCTAATTGATAATTTCCTGAAAATAAAGCATTCAAATATATAATATATATTAGAAGAATAAGATAAAAAAAAAAGAATTTTTATACTATGTCTTGTATAATATAAAACGTTTCTTATTCATATGCATTCCGGGCTTCTTTTTCTAAAGATTTCAGAAATTCGAGTGTTAGCCTTCAGCCGGTACACTGGGAACTGTCTCTAAACGGAAGCGGAAGTAACTGCCGGCAGCTACCGAACTCTATCGTTTGACCTTGAAGCCGAAAGAAATGCCAAATGCGTTTCTTAAAAATACAAATAATCGAAAAAGACAAATTTTAATTACTCGCCAATCAAACCGCCGGACGGAATATTTTAAAAAGATCCACATAAAGACACGAAGTAAAGGGGAAAAGAAAAAGTTGATTGGAAGTTATACAAGAATGAAAAAAAAGAAGGAAATAAATGAAAGTAGAACATTTGAAAAAGAAGAAAAACAGTTTCGTAAAGAAGCAAAAGAAAAAAAAAGTAAGGAAGTAATCAAAGATGAACAAATAGTGAAAACAAAAAAGAAGTAGAAGAAAAAGATAACGAAAGAAAAAGTTAACGAAGAAGCGGCAAACACGGGGCTGGATGGGAGAAAAGTGTGAAACGTAAAACGAAAAATAAAACGAGAATAATGGAGGAGAAAAGGAGAAAATAAATGAGAAAATGAAATGAGCAGAAAATAAAAGTGGACGTAGAGAAGAGGAAGAGACAGACAAAGAAAATCAGAAGTTATACAAGAATGAAAATAAAGGAGAAAAGATGATAGCAGTAGGTTTGGAAAAGAAGAAAATAGTTTAACAATGAGGAAACAAACAAATTCAGGACGAGATGAAGTAATCCAAGAATAAAGAAAGAATAAAAAAAAGAGAAAAAAAGAAAAGAGAAATTAAAAGAAGAAGAAAACACGGGAAAGAAAGAGCCAAAAAAAAAAAAGCGTTAAAGAAAACAAACAATAAAAGGAAACAAATAGAGAAAATAATAATAATAATAATAATAATAATAATAATAATAATAGTAAAGAAGAACAGGATGAAGAAGAGATAGGAGAAGAAAGTTCCCACCCTCCAAACGAAGAAAAGTAGATATTTTGTAAGCATAAAAGACATTTGTAAACTATCAATAACAGATGGAAGACAAAGTCACGTGAATGAGTATCTTTAAAGGTTTCCAATAAGAAGCTGAGAAACTAGCTATTAAACATTCACTGCATAAAAAGAGCTGCGGAAGGAAATTCAAATTTATTCTTTTCCCGGAAAACGCAGTATATCAGAATCTGACAACTACAGTTTCACTTTCACTTTCACTTTCCGTTTCTCTCAAAACCTTTCAGAAATGTATGAACGTGTGAATGTGTATGTGCCATTTAATGTGTTTGTGTCTGTACATGTGTGTATATGTGTATATGGGTGCGTGTAATAGTAATATGTATACGTATTAATCAGCTTTTACTTTCAAACTGAGTGTATAAGGGAGAAAAATTTCCTTCTTGGGGAAATATTGCTAAGTTTGATTATGATTATGATGAATGTTTTCATATATCTCATTATGTTCCCATCTATTGATCTATCTATATATCTTTGCTTGATGGTTTCTATCTATCTATCTATCTATCTATCTATCTATCTATCTATCTATCTATCTATATCAATCTGTTTTTATATATCTCATTATGTTGTCAACTATTGATCTATCTCTGCTTGTTTGCAGACATGTCATTAAGAGAGATCGCAAGACAAACTAATCACTGTGTAACAGCTGACCGCTAGTCGTATACTTGCAAAATCTATAGTAACTACGAGTAAATGATACTCCTACCTATAACATGTGCAAATAAATTTACCCTCCTCTGGCATCTACTTTTGCTTATTATACACAACAGTAAAGCGCTGGATTTGCTCTAATGAAATACTTGTTTCTTTGATGAATATAAATGAAAACACATAGCTTCGTGCCATATTAATAGACCTTTTACTCAAATTTCGCACCGAACTGGCAGAAGAAACTAGATGCAGAGTTGACTTGGCCACCGAATTCCTTCATACATTCCTTCATACGTGAATTGCAAATATGAAAACGAGATTTCCGGACAGATGGATATATAAACAATTGTCCGATAGATGATATAAGCGCACTTTCTCTCAGACAATACAAGGGAATGTAGGGTCAGATTATTGAAACGGGATGTGATGATTGATCTCGCATCACAGACGAGTAATTGACAAAATATTGGAGAAAATCAAATAACAAGTCATGTCCATGTTTGCTACATGTGGCATAAAATTTTCCAATTTTCTACATACAACGTGTGGAAACTCGTGCAATAACCTGTTCTTATCAGCTGCTAACTAGGACAGATAACACAGTTTCGGTGGCTATGGCAGTTCTGCCACCCCTGGGGTCTCCAGCAGCTTTTGACAAAAGAGCATTATTTTCGGTGAAGGTGTGTCAGACTCTGCGATTTTTATATTCTTATGCTACTGTAAGTCAGATTCTACAATGTTGTCTCCAACAAAAACGTTTGCTTTTGATCGTTAAACAAAACACAACGTGCTTGTAGAGACAGTTATCAGCAACGTAGAATAGAAGGTAAACATTTGTTACGAGCATGGTTTTAATTAAATTTGTTTATTTTTGAATCTGTGGTCTGGAGGCGATGTGGAACACTTTTCAGGCACCGACCAGTGATACCCACCTTTAAAAGTAAAGAAACGATTGAACATGCTAGGAATCCACGCACCCGATCTCAACAGGTTGCAAATGGCATGTCCACCATTAATGTTTCTGGCTGAATATGAATTATACAGTTTTTGGTGAGAATTATAAACTGAAAATTTCTGACTTTTACTTTGGCAGTTTGGGCTTTTGTGGCCTGGTTTACCACATATATAGCAAATAATAATTTTGGTACTGGCCTTTGTGTTTTAAGAGCCATTATAGTATTTTCACTGTTTTTTCAATCATCTTTTCAGTCTCTTTGAAGCTGCTTAATGTGACTTTAAATTCAATGAATGTTATTGTTTTGTCATTAATGAGTAATAACAGTTGTGTATAATTTAAGTTTATAGGGGAAAGCTTTTAGGATCAAAGTAAATATTTAATTACCATTAAAGTCTGATAAAATTCAAAAGAAAACTTCTAAACTTTTCATCCCTGTATATTCTACACATTTAAAGCTTTACTTTAAATAGTCAGATATGAAAAAAATGTCTTTTCTCAGGTTTAAAGTTGATATAATTGTTTTAAAAATGTATTTTTAGCTGGCGAGTTACTGATGTTTATAAATGTAACAATGTTTATTTCCAAAAGATTTGTCCTTTTCCCAAAACAAAAAGGAAAGAAGAAAACAAAACAACCCAAAAGTAAAAAAAAAAGAAGCTTCTTAAATAGTCATGTCAAAATGAAGCTGTATCATTTTTTTTTAAAGTGAAATGAAAATACAGACAAATTTATTGCTAGAAATCATTTGTTTTCTATCAAAATAACCCGTATACTTTTTTGTTTTGTCTTAATCCGATAAGATGAATGATGGCAAAACAGTTATTTTTATTGTTCTTATTTTATCTAATGTTTATTATTATTATTATTATTATTCTCCTTCTTCTCCCCTCCCCTATTCCTTCATATTCTTCTTCTTCCTTTTCTTCATCATAAACTCTTCTTCTTCTTCTTCTTCTTCTTCTTATTATTATTATTATTATTATTATTATTATTATTATTCCTTATATTCTCCTTTTTCCTCCCCCTTTCCTTCATCATTCTTCTTTTTCTTCCTTTTCTTCATCAGAATCTTCTTCTTCTTCTTCTTCTTATTATTATTATTATTATTTTTATTATCCTTCTTCTTCTTCTTCTCTCCTATTATTATTATTATTATTATTATTATTATTATTATTATTATTATTATTATTATATTAAACCTTGTATTTCGGTTCTCGTAAGAACGGCATGCCTTCTATCATTCAAACACAAAAATCTGTCGCCTTATGATAAAATATTTTGCTCTTAATGTTGAGATTTTAAAGAAACGAAAACAACAGTAGCTGATGACCAGCTTATTAATTAGAAAACATATAAATATCTTTTGAAGGTGTGAGTTGCAATTATATATAACAGTTGAGAATTCTAAAACAATGTGAATAAACGGAAATATTATTACTGCTACCACACAGACACACAAATACACAGACACACACATATATATATATTTTATGCAGCAAAAAATCTAAAATGACCTCATGTGGGTATAGACTATTTCAAACTAGCGCTGCTATGTGCCAGCTATTCTATAAAACAAAATAATGAACAATATACTTCAAACTAAAACGTACAACCACAACCAAAAGCGCTCGGCAAAACATCATGGACTAAGGCCTTTTTTCAACAACTTAGACACAAATATAAAAAAAAATTGCGAGAAAGCAAGAAAAAAACACAGTAAAAAGATTGTTAAACGGAAAAGTTAGCGTAGTCTCTAACGCATGGCATTAGTAATGACACGCTGCCAATATACATACATATATATACATATATATATATATATATATATATATATATATATATTGTCTGTCTCTTTAGGATTATTCTAGTTTATCTCTCTACTTAGCGTATTGAGCACTCTACGTCGTTTACTTTTTACTCGTTTTGGCTTTTTTTTCTTTGGACTTGGAGCTTAAACACTTCACGATTGTTTCACCTTGTTTTAATGTTCTTGGTTCTTTCTTTTTTTTAATTCCAATTTGTCCTCGCGTACCGATTTGTTCTACTGCAAGTTGAGCTATCCGAGGTTTTTCCAAACGAGTACTACCATATATATATATATATATATATATAGTAGAGGGAGGGAAGGTGTAGTTGGGAAGTCGTATGAAAGAAAAAAGAAGAAAAATCGTTAACCTTTCATCCAAAGTCCAACCGTCCAATAATTCTCACGAGCCCTACAGTAAATCTGCAAGTGGTCAACACCATTTTCTTTAACCATTTTCCAGCCAAAACTTCAAGTTTAATTTATTTTTCGTTGAGAAAACAACACAGGCGTGTCGGAAAAGTCAGATTTCTAACAGTTTATAAATATACACAATATATATATATATATATATATATATATATATATATATATATATATATATATATATAAAAAAAGGCTTAAACACTAATATTCCTTAAGCCTTTTTATTATATCCTTACTCTGTCCTGGACATTGAGTTTTTGAATTTGTAGGTCTGATGAATTGGATCGTATTTACGATTCCAATGGAATAAATTATGACAATGGAATATCAGTGTTTAAGCCTTTTTATTATATCCTTACTTTGTCCAGGATATTGAGTTCTACCTGTATTCTATCCTCTCGGAATTTTTTATTCAAAAAATATACATATATGTGTATGCACCTATGTATATATATCTATATATTTTGCATATGTATCTGTATATTTACCACTAATATTATCTATCTATCTATCTATCTATCTATCTATCTATCTATCTATCTATCTATCTATCACTTCTGACGCTCGTCCCGTGTCGTGTACGAGGGCCTTGCGTGGTCCACCGATTCTGAGAGCGATGCCGTCGGGATTTCTAAACTGGTAGAGTCAGCCTTGCGGCAAGGTCGAAGACGAGGACTCAGACTAAGCGTGACCAACCCCAAAGAAAGAATGTTGCCCAAATATACAAATATACATTATACATATATATATATATATATATATATATATATATATTGTGTATTTATATATAAATCATTCATTTCAGATACATGTTTCATTAAAGACGACAGACAAGGTACTGCGATTAAATTTTTATTTAATTTTTCTTGTGTTCGAACAAGTGTTTTCTTTTCTGGACACTAAGTGTTTAAAATATAATGTATAAATGTTCTGCATGTTCGGTTATACTTTCACCCATTATCAAGGATGATTTTATTTTTGCTTTTTAATTGGATTTATAGAAATGTTTTATTTTCCGAACACAATGACTCAAACAAAAAAAAAAAATAATATATAATAAACATTCATACTTTCATCATGTAGTGACTCATTGATAACGATAGAAAATACCCCAGATTACAGCTCCAATTCCAATTTATAAATGAGAAAAGCATTTCTTCAGTTAGTCATTCTAAACATAGCTTGAGAATGAAACAGCACTCTAAATTTTAAGTTTAACATTGAAATTAAACTTTCGGACAAGTCAAGTTTCGAAACATAGAAATTTCTTTGTTGCAATGGAATCATATTTTAAAAAAATTATAATTTTAATCTCTACTTCTGTATCGAACACTGTTTCTTAAAAATAAAAACATAAATACTAAAAAACTTTGTATCATTAATCTGTTCTTTCCTATTACTATCTATCTATCTATCTATCTATCTATCTATCTATATATATATATATATATATATTATAATTTTTTCATATAGACAAAAACAATTTACTCACTACAAAGATGCAACTTCGTTTCAGCGCATTTAGTTGCACTTCGAATGGTGAGAACCAAAATGGTTATCGAGGTGCAACTAAATGCATCGAAACGAATTTGCGTCTTTGTAGTGAGTAAATTGTTTTGTCTATATGAAAAAAAACTATAATAAGTAATTATTGCTCTACTATCGGTATTGATCCCTCTTTTGAATTAATGCTGCGAACGTTAGAATTTGTATATAATTTTCGTTCCCATTACATTCACATATATATATATATATATATATATATATATATATATATATATTATATATAAATTAATTGATTTAAAATATTTTTTTCGCTACACAGTTCTAACCATGTTTCAAAAATGGAAGCTAAAAGCCACGAATGTAATTTTGTGATTAAATCAAAGACATTAGTTCCATTTCATCCTCAAGCGAATTTTGGAGTTACTTTTTAAAATTACTGGGTTTTAAATACACAGCTAAAACAAAATTCATGTTTCCAAGGTTACAGATAAATCTATTTTTTCTAGACAGGGTGGCTGGGTTTTTCAATATGTCTATAATTTAATGTATCAGTTATTGCTACGTTTGGGTCGTGGGAAGGAATGTATTTTCAATGAAATCTAACTTCCGTTAAAGCCTGTCGTCTAGATTTTTTAAAATCATATTGTTAACGGCTAAAATTCTTACGGCCTTTTTTTTTTCTTTCGTATATTTAAAATATATTATGATTTTTTTATATTTAAATATTTCTAAAGTAAAATTTTTCATTACTCCGATTTAGTAAACTTTATTTATTTATTTAATTACAAATTAAAAAAAGTTTAGATTAGAATTCATTTTAATTAACTACAGTTTTAATTACAACTTTAAAATATTTTCATTATTAGTTTTAATAGCCTATATTTCAATTAATAGAAGTAAAATGTTACTTAGCATCAGTAAAATTATTTTTCTATATCAAGTATATTTATATTACGATTTTTAATTTTTTTTTAATATTTAAATATTTTTTAAGTAAAAATTTTTTTATCTTTACGGCAAAAATAGCTACTTCATTTCTCTATTTTAGTAAACTTTATTTGTTTATTTAATTACAATTTAAAAGAAGTTTAGTTTAGAATTCATTTTAATTAACTAAAATTGTAATTACAACTTTAAAATATTTTCAATATTAGTTTTTTTAGACTATATTTCATTTAAAATGTATCCGAGTTCTTTACCGTCAGTAAAATTATTTTTCTATATCAAGTATATTTATATTACGATTTTTTAATAAATTTTATATTTAAATATTTTTTAATTAAATTTTTTTTTATCTTTACGACAAAATAGCTACTTCATTACTCTAATTAGTAAACTTTATTTATTTATTTATTTAATTACAATTTAAAAGAAGTTTAGGTTAGAATTCATTTTAATTAACTACAATTTAAATTACAACTTTAAAATATTATCATTATTAGTTTTTTTAGACTATATTTCATTTAATATAAGTAAAATGTATTAGAGTTACTTAAAGTAAGTGAAATTATTTTTCTACATCAAGTATATTAATATTACTATTTTTTAAAAAAATTTTATATTTATAAATATTTTTTTAAGTATTTTTTAAGTAAATTTTTTTTTTTCCATAGTACTTAGTTTACTTTCACTAGGAAAATGCTTGACTATTAATATTTCATGTTAAATATAAGTATGTATATTACCTGATCCTATTTTATAAAATTATTTTTATTTTTAAATATTATTTAAGGAAAATTTTTGACAATGACGGCATACAGTAACTATTTCATTTCTCTGATTCAGTAAATTTTTATTTTTTATAAACTTAGCATTATATAGTTTCTCATGTATGCACAAAGGACATGGGTCATTTAATGACCTACATATTCTAGCTTTTCTTATTAACTTCCATTTTACTGTAGGTGTTTTATTTAATTCTTTTACGTGCCAGAAATATTTTGATAGGGATGTCTGATTTTTATATTTATTTATTCTAAATGAAGTTTGATGTTGGTTGAATCTTCTTTTGAACTCATGGCTAGTGCAACCTACATATATATTTTTATGTTTTCAGGACATTCAATCGAAGAGATATTGCATTGGTATACTACTGATTCAGTGCAACATTTATTTTGAAGAGGGCAATTATGAGTGTTTCTACAATTACATAATTTTTGTTTATTTTCATCGGTTTTTATTTTTACATTGTCTAAATTTTTTGGGTTATGGTATAAGTGTTTATTTAAGATATTAGCATTATGGTTCTTAATAATTTTTTCTAAGTTTTCGGTGCAGCTGTAACTAAATTTTAGTGTGTTTTTATTGAAAATAGTACTTAGTTTACTTTCACTAGGAAAATGCTTGACTAATAATGCAAGGAATTTTGTCCTAATTTGTACTTTACCATTTGGTTGTATGGGGGCGTATACCAAAATTATTTTTTTGAACATCTGTTTTTCTTATGCTTTTCATTTTTTATATTTTTTATATAAGTTAGTTTTGGGTTTTTGTAGCCACTCACTTTTAGAGCCTTGTTATAGGAATTAATATGCTCATCGAAAATCTTGTCATTTGCTGAATTTGTACTTATTTGTTTACTGATAGATAACGGTATATGTTTAATTATAGTTGTGGGGTGATTTGATTTAAGGTGTATATATAAAGGATTAGTGTTAGGTTTCATTTTTGAAACATGGTTAGAACTGTGTAGCGAAAAAATATTTTAAATCAATTAATTTATAATATTAATGCTCTGTAAATTTACATTGAGCACTATTTTGTAAAAATAAAAATATCTATAAGAACACCGGATTATATATCTTGCTGTTCTTTCTTTCTATTTATATACATACATATATATATATATATATATATATATATATATATATATATATATATATATATATATATATATATATATATGCATTTATTTATGTATTTGTGTGCGTGTGTGTGTGCGTGCGTGTGTGTGTGAGGCCAATCAGATATAACAAACATATATCTATAAAAATACTCCTTTAACAAACCAACATAAATGAGTATAAATATTGAAAACAAAGAAAAAACAGTTAAATTCATAACTTTCTATCATTTAAAATATATAATAATACATCACTTATATAATTTATAATACATCACATATATCATCATTTATAATACATCCCATATATAATTTATAATGCATCCTTATATAATTTATATCACTTATATAATTTATAATACATCACTTATATAATTTATAATGCATCACTTATATAATTTATAATACATCACATATATCATTTATAATATATCGCTTATATAATTGAAAATACATCCCTTATATAATTTATAATGCATCGCTTATATAATTTATAATACATCACTTAATTTCGCAAATTAAATTGATATAAATAATAATTGCATAATTAAAGAAATCAACAATCACATTTGTTCACTTTGGTCGTTAAATTACATCACTTAACATCTTTCATAATTTACTTTGACTTTCAGTTAGCCTGAAGGATAATTGTAAGCGTTATTAATTTTAAAAATTATAAAAGCCAACGACCTTTATAGTATTATGTAGAAAAAAAAAACGTATTGCAAAATAAAATCCTTACATTTGCCTTGCTAAAGTTCAACACAGGACAAAACACATCGGCTTAGATAAATCTTTCTTTTGTCTTTAATATATATATATATATATATATATATATATATATATATATGTGTGTATATAACAATTGACTTTGCGAACGAAGATTTATGAGTCTTTACAACGACAGCGACAGTTTCTACCACATAGGTTGTAGAATATCACTAATGTTCGCGGTAGAGGTTTTTTAGGTGGAGACCAGCGGCCACATGATCGACTTCCCTGTTCAAAGCGGGAATTCACGTTTGACCAGAAATAATTTCTCGATCAGATATATAAAAAAGAAACCTAAATCAAACCTTCGAAGGTCATTTTGTAGTTAGTTTCACATATGAACTCAGCATCAATCAAAAATCCATTTTCTTGATGTTCTTATTCTTTCCAATGATCAGAACTTTATTAACTGAGCTTACATACGCTTTACATATATAAAAATATATGTGTGTCACTGTA